ATGGTCACCAGGTGAACCACACCTTCACCTCAGCCCCACAAAAGATGAAAGCAGTACTTCAGCCAGCTCAGTGCAGCCTCCGAGGTCCAGGCTTTCCATGATTAGGTCACCCAGGGCTGAATTAGGTGCAGCAGCCCACAGCAGTAGCAGCTGAAGAGAACTAAACCAGAGGAGAAGGAGGACTAGGCTTTCTCCTAGCTGTAGGGTCTGCAGGCAGCCAGGTGTTACAAAAACTGAGTGGTCTGGAAAAAACATCATTGAACAGAAGCTGCCTGCCAAATTAACAAGCCCACGGCATTGGAAGAGGGGCCACACATTTCCCCCAGCCATCTTCCCACTGGGGTTGCCCAGTTCTCCTGTTTTGCGCCAAAGAGCTTGGGTGGACCAGCAGGTCCACACTGTTCAGCACTGGAAGGAGATCAACAGCACTCAGCTTCAGGGATGACTGGCCACAGTCAAAGCAACAGACATGGGTCCAGACATCAGGGAGCCAAATCCACAGAGGAGCAGGGAGGTCTGGACACAAAAGCATGTGCACAGGAAACCAAGGGAGAGGGCGGTTATCAGTAGTGCTTCTCTACATGCGTTCCAGGCACCTGTCTTGGGACAGGAGTCACTGGGCCAGCTAGTCAGCACCATCAGGGTGCTTTTAATGCCTGAAGCCAAGTCTTCCCAGAAGACAAAGCCCTGCCCATCACTCAGAGACATCCCTCTCTGCCACTTACCCTCTTAAATACACTCCACCTTCTCTTTCCTGTCACCCTCACAGCCCTTTATAGGCATCAGCTGCTGCAGACCCAGCTGGTCTGGCTGGCCCTGGTAGAGAGGCAAGCCAGAAAACAGCCCACAGCCACAATGCTGTTGAATATATCCTTTGGGGGGATACACTCTTTTACCACTGAAATCCCTGCACCCAAGCCTGTCCCAGGAAGAGCTAATTGTACAGAGAGCATAGGGAGAGAGACAAAAGTGGTGTGGGGTGGCAGCCACTGACCTTACATAGGTTTGGCTTGGTCCTTCTCCACCAACATTCACAAACAGTTGGGGATTTATCTGAGCTTTTTTGTCTTTGTATCATGTTTTCCTCCACAATGTCCCTCACCATAAAGTAAAAACAGTCAGTCCTGAAAGGGGTACACACACTGCTTCCCATTGACACCATCAGCTCTAAGGAGTTCCACATGCTCTGAATCAGTGTAATTTCTCTTCTACCCCCTCCTCCTCCCTATGCCCTCTGGTACTGCAGGAGGTAACAAGTCAGCACAGCCTCTCCAGCTTCCCATCCAAGGACTTTGATGGGACAGCAGAGAGCTGGAGATGGGATGGAGAGGGGACAGACAGAGAAATGGGGCAGCAAAGACAGCATGTCAGGGAAGCTCAGGTGGGATGGTGAAAGCAGTCCAGGGCCCAGACAACAACAGGTCCTCAAGGAAAGGCCAAATGGTGGTGGCACTCAGTTTAGACTCACATCACTGGCATCTGAAAGTCATCTTAGGTCTACAGGACATGATCTTGAATCACTAAATTCAGCAGGGAGAGAGAAGCTGAATTAAATGCAAAGATCAAACCTTTATAGTTTGGGCTTTATTTATTTTATTCCCAATACAGAACTGCTGTTGTTGAATTTCACTAAAAACTGAAGCAGCCACTACATAACCCCAATGAAGTCAGGGCAGGAAAATACACTGGATTGATTTCTGGCTGAGAAACAAATCCAGCTTAGCACGAGCAATGGAGTTTGAAGTGTTTTTCACTTTTTCTGAGGTCCCCATCATAAGTGGCTAAACACACTATTGTTTGGTGTCTCCTCCATGGAGCACTACAGAGCAAATGGATGAGAATAAATGCTTTGAAACCTTTGGCCTGTGCACTAAAACAAAGCTTGTCTGTGTTGAGGGGAACCTGCTGCAAACTCTGAAAGCTCATGAGATATGATGCATGGTGAGAAAGAGAATATGACACATTGTCTTGCACCAGTCATTCTAAGAGCAAAAGAAAAATGACAGAGCTTAATCTGAGGCTATGAGGGTTTTCCTGGGGAAACCAGTGTCAGGATCTTCAAAGTAGTGGCAAGATCCAGCAACAGGAATCTGGCAAGAGCAAAATTCAGAGGAGATAGGAGGAGCCAGGTTTCAGTAGGAAGCATAGGTAGCTGGACCCTAGTATGCTCTCCTTGTTATGCCTGAAAAGTGGCTGATGCCTGGATTTTGAAGGCATCATCCTGACCCTGGTCTGCGAGGAAAAGCAACCACATTGAAAGGGACTTAAACTTTGGTATGTCTTGAGTTTTGAGTTCTTCAGGGCTATTTTTAATTCTTTGTGCAGTTTTAACTCCACACAAACTGGGGCTGAATGTATGTGCAAGAGTATGAGTTTTCTTTGGCTTATCCACAATTGCCATTTCTACTGTTTTATGAAAATTAGGTTTTTGCAGAATTGCAGACTGGGCAAGCTCCAGCTATGTTCTGCTGCAACAACTCAGCCTAAAGGAAAGCTGTACCTATGAGTTATTACTGAATGTTGTGGGATTTGCTCCTCAGGGTGGCTGTAGAGACTTACCCTTACACTTTGCAAGGCTAGGGGAAGCAGCATTTGGACATCATCATATAGAGATGACAGACTGAGGAATCCAAGGGTTAGGACAAACCTCAGGTCCTCAATGATTGCAGACAGAGCTCAGAAACCACCTTTCCAGGTTCTCAAGGTAGACTGCTAAGAGTAAGGGTGTCCAGGAGCCACAAATGTCTCCTTTAGAACAGGAACCTCTTAGTTATCATATCCCATCATTTCCCACTTCAAAAAGTGGTTGTTTGTGGTGCAGGCAATAGCTCACGACCAGCATCAAGACAGTCAAGGTGAATCGCTCATGGGACTTAGCAAGCTCTGCTCTCACTGACTGCAGTGGCACACACAGGATCATCTGGGTTACACACTGGATCCCACTCTTCTGTCCAGTTTATTTTTCTCTGTTGGCCACGCGGTTGAACAGTTCTGCCAGGGTGGAATACCAGGGACTGTGAATTCCTCATCATGGACTCAAATTAAGCCACCAAGAGGCATTACACTCTCTATGTTAAATCCCTGTCAGAGAGGGTTGAGCATGTCCCAAAGATTGTGGTTGCCTTGACCAAATTAAATTCCAACCTTGCAGCTCCATGTAAATATAATCACAGCTGCAACCACTGTGAGCTGAGGACAGGCTGCGAGCTCCTGAAAGAGACAGCACTATGGGTGTTGAAGCATCCTGTCCCTTCCAGCTGGCTCAGCCTGCTGTGCTGCAGTGACTCACCCCAGAGCCAAAGCACACTCTAAGTTACCACCAAGCGCTGCAGGGCTCCAAAATAACACTCAGACACCACCTTCGCAAGAAGTCTACTGCAGCATGAGGATCCCCATGTTTCCCTCTATATATTTCAACAAAAGGCATTAATACCACATGGCCTACCTTCAGACAGTGGCATCAGCTCCTGCGGCCCTTCTCTGGCTAAGTCTGCTAATGCCAACCAACCTCCTTGACTTAAACCATCAAAACAGAGAGCAGGGAGGCCAAGAGAAACTCGGTGCTTCATAATCAGGAAACGAATCCAACCCAGCTAGTTGGGGACCAGCTCTTAAAAGCCCACAGCTTTTAAGCTTGTACTAGTCCAGGCTGGAAGTAACCTCTTCCTTTATCTAGCCAGCAGTGTGGGGTGGGTACCATCCCAGCATAGTCTGCATGCAGTATTTCAAATTCCAGCAAAGGTTTTACAATGAGCAGGTTGGTTATCCTTCTTTAGAATACTTCCCTTTTAATGGAGAATCACATTTTCTATTTAAAATATCCCCTTGGCCAGTGCTTTTCACCTATTTGAATTTCTCCCTGTTCTTTTCATCATCACAAGAAAAACCAAACAATTTAGCATTTTCATAATTTGGAGGGGTTGTTTCTTTTTCCTGCTCTTTTCATTCTCTTTTTCCTTCTCACAGTGAAATACCAGAGAACAAATCATATCCCTGGGTGGGATTTTTAACAAAATGTTAAATGTTTCATTTTTATCCTTCTTTCTTTATCCTGTTGTCACTATTCCTTCCCCTCAAACTTCCCCGAGTCGCTGAGCGGCAGCGTTGCAATCTGTCACACGGACAGACGAAGCATGGCTGCATCTCACCGCACTGTCTGCTGAGAGGGTCAGAAGGGGCAGATCACTTAACACTACACCTGTTTTATGAATAATAATGCAGACAGTTTTGCTGGGTTCCTGGGAGGACATTTTCCCACCAGGATAAGCTCTGCATATTGAACAAATTAATGTCTTTAACTCATTTGACTCTGGTTAGCTCAGTTGTGATGGGAAGCTCCAGCAGTGCCATTTGAACAGGGAAAATACAAGGCAGACCTTTGAAGCATGTTCGTTGAGTGTCTTGTATTTTCTGCCTCTGCAAGTTTCACTTACAGAGGCATGATATTATAAACTTGGGGTTGAAGAGCCTGTTCACAGTGCAAAAAACATGGAGAGGGAAATAAAATAAATTTAAAAAGCAGGAGATCTGCTTTTTAAAGAACAGGATCTGTGAAGCTTTAGAAAACTGAAAATTATCCATGAGAATGCCAGGTTTGTTTCAACCTGAAATACCCCACCTGAACCAAAATGAAGCACTTCAGTTTTTCCCTCAGTGACTGGACTAGCTCAGAAAACAAAAAAGTACATTAAAAAGTCACTTTTTATATTACTTTAAAAATTTCAAAGAATTCAAGGAGTCCGGGAGTTTCTTTGTAAGGTGGTGGAATGAAGTGTTGTGATTCAAAGCACCAAGTTTCTCCAGGTTTTTCCTTAGCAAGAGCTACAATACCTGTCCTTTCTTGGCCAGAGGACTGTGCCCATCAGCACAACCAGCAATATCCTGAGTGATGCTCCTGTCCTGATTTGGGCTACTTAAAGAGTCTCGGGAGCGTCCCTCAGCCCCATCCCAAGCCAGAACTGTGATCACAGCAAAAGAGGACACTGCTCTGCCAGCTCAAGTCAGTGTCTCTCTCATATATTATTTTATTTGTTTTGTTGGTTTTTATTGAGAATGAAAAAATAATTTAAAGCGATTATCTGTACAGGGGTCAGGGGAATGGTTAACTGGTCAGAGGATCTGTGACCTCCCACAGCCAGGCCAGGGAGGGTTAGAGGAGGTGATTTACAGCTGTACAAAACGCAACAATCCCACCGAGGAGGAGTGGAGGGAGGGTGGGAGCTCTCACAGACTCAGAGAGGAGGGGTGGGAGGCTGTGCAGGGGCACAGTGGGGAGACAGGGTCTGGCCAGAGAGAGGCCAGACCCTCAAGTGACCTGAAGGGGTGTCTCCAGCATCTCCATGAGGAAGGTGTCAATGGGGGTGTCTCCAATCAGCTTGAAGAAGAAGAGGTGCTCCAGGCACTTCAGCCCGATGGACCGCAGTGCTGGCAGACGTAGAAGGAGTTTGGCAAACCTGGAAGAGAGCAGAGTCAGAAGCATGTGGGAGGCACTGGCTGCCCTCTCACAGGTGTTTCCAAGCCTGCAGCAGGGGCTCAGGAAAGAAGAGCCCAAATTCTCCCCCCAAAATGGCTTGGAAAGTTCTATCTTAGATTCCCCTATGCCTTCAAAATAAGCATTTCGCTCTGCATGTGTGGATGAAACATAGAATCATAGAATAGTTTGGGTTGGAAGGTACCTTCAAAGCCCATCTTCAATGATCAGGGACATCTTAAATTAGCTCAGGTTGCCCAGAACCACATCCAGCCTCAACTTTAATGTCCTCAGGGATGTATGTTTTCCAAAACAGATTTTAGCATTTTAAAATATAAAATCCAAACAAATAAACAAACAAAAAACCAACCAACCAACCAAAAAACAAAACAAAACAAAAAAAAAACACCAAAACCCCCAAAAGATACATCCGGATTCTCTCTCCAAGACTTACATCTCCATGGTGCCATTTCAATCCTTCTTGGGAAGAAGAATCTTTCAAAACTCCCCAGCCTCCCAAGAGTGTGCAGCCCCTCGGCAGTGCCTCTGCCAGCCACTGCCTCTCGTTTCGAGGCACAGCTGCAAGGGGGTGCAGCAGGCAGAGTGCATCCCCCTCCCCATATCCCACTTGTAGAATTCTGCAGTCACATCCAGAGCCAAAAATAGTAGAAGATGCTGTGGGCACATCACTTGGCTGGTGGCAATGGGGATGGGTCCAGCTGCCGGTGCTTCAAGAGCTCGGCCAGTAGAGGGTATGATTGGATTGAAAAGCAAGAAAAATGAACCCCGCCAGCACCAGAAAGGCTCTGGCCCAGGATTAGGGCACGGAGAGGACAGGCCAGCCTGTGGGAGCTGGGCTGCTCAAGCAGTTCTGGTTGGTGTCCTCCTGTCGTTTTTAGGGTGGCTAGCACAGACACCTCTGCCTCAGTCTTCTCTTCCCACGGTGGGTGTTGTGCTGCCCTGAGCTGCCTGCCTTGCTGGGGGACACTCACCGCCCTGGCTGCTCGGGGTACTTCTGCTTTGTGTAGGCTTCCAGCGTGGCATAGACCTTCTCCCTCAGTGATTCCACTTCTGAAGGGCTGGACAAACCTTTAGCATCTGGATGAAGGAGAAAATAGGGGTAGGGAAGAAATCATTGCAGGGGGCATTTCCACTGCAGAGTGACTTCTTGTAGGGGTAGGAGAGGACTCAGACTCTCTGTAATCATGGACCCAGGGACTGGAACAAATCTGTCTGCAGCCCTACCTGATGCTCACTGACACAGCCCTCCTGCCTGCGATCTGCCATGGCCGAGAGGGTGTGCATGCCACCTGGGACTGCCCCAGGTCTCAGACTTACCTGGGTTAAACAGGACAATGGCTCGCAGGCACCCCAGCTCTGACTTATCCATCTGCATGTCTTTCATTTTGGACACCAGTTCTGTCAAAACCCTGCATACAGTGACATGGGTAGGAAGATGAACACAGACAGGTATAGGCATCAAGGTGGCTGACTGAAAATCATCTGGGACAGGCACTGGGAATATCCTATATTCTTCTCTGCAGGAAGAGGCAGCTTTGAAGGAAAACCATGCCACACACTCCTCAACAGCACTCAGGGACCTGAGCACCGAATTCGCTCCTGTTCTCATTTTGCTCAGCATGTGGTCTCTGTGCTCCATTTGGACCATGGAGAAAATTTGCACCCACTTAAGGAAAACCACATGGGATTTTCTCCACATTTCACTGTGCAAAACATGTGAAGCATCCCAGTTGTGTAGGAGTGGTAATGTGCTGCCCTGCCAGGCAAGAAGCTGGCATGGTATGGATGGTACATATGCAGTTGGTACATGAGCAAGTTGGGGTATAAGGCTTTGCCAGATAAAGCTCTTGCTGATCAGTATTAGCTGTAGATCCAGCTATGACAAACTCTAGAGAAAAGGCAGAGAAGCATTCCTCCCCCTGCACACTCAACCAAAGATCTCCTTCTGCAGCTGCAAATCTCTTTCAAGGTGCTTTCATTCCATTTTTGATTTTTAAGCCAGTCAAGCATCCCTTCCTCATTCTAAACTAGTCCTGTCCCAGATGATCATGGGTTCTTACTAAGGATATGTTGCCCATTCAGAGGGGAAAGACAGAGCCAGCCTGACCACTACTGCTAGGGGTGGCAGAAACAGGCCACGCACCTGTCAAAGATGGAGCCCACACCAGCACTGTGGGCACTGCTGCGGTGCACATGCAAGCCCGTGGCCAGAAGGATGCCATCCTGCACTGACACAGAGCGATGGGAGAATGAGGCAATGAGCAGCTCATTCCATCCTGCAAGAGAAGGTGCGTAGGACACAAAAGACAGTTAGCAAAAGAAAATCAGTCCCACATGGAGAAGGAGAGCTGGTTTCAGATGGGGCTCGCAAGAGAGATAGGACCCCAAGTGCCAACTACACCCTTGCCAACACTGCAAGGAGTGGCAAATTGTGACCAGCAGCAACGAAGGTGCAGAAAAGGACTCAGGGAAGGGGGAGACACTATTTTTTTCATTTTGCACATTACACACTAGTGTGCCCCACACATAGTAAGTTCTGCAGTTACAGGAATTACATTAATAAGACATTTATTCACGCTTCTCCAGCCCTCCTACATGTCTGCATAAAGAGAGGAACAAACAGCAGATTCCACCGTGCCACAGACAGCCTCTACCAACTGCCTATCACGGCCCATGATGGAGTGCTTGCTCTGTTATAGGGCAAGCAGGGACAGATCAGATCAGGATTTCACATTCACCATCCTGCCTGGCTGGCACAGCACACAGTCCAGAGGAGGGACAATGGATCCAAGGATATCCCCAGAGACCCCAGGTGGGAACATTACCTGCCCGGAGGAGAATGACTTGATCTTCCAGGGTCAAGTCAGAGAAGTGAGGGATTCGCTTGGCCCACTCAACAAGTGTGAAGAGCTGCTTGTCAGCTGCGTGGCATATGTTGGTAACAGGGTCATTTGTCTAATTAAGAGCAATATCAAAGGGAAAAGAGGAAAAGAGAATCTGTCAATGAAAAATCTTTGACAGTCACTGTCTGTTTTGCACATGGTATCAGATCAAATGAATGATACTGAGAGCCACAAGTGAAATGATCAAACTGACAATAATCTCAGCTGTGCTGGGAAGAGAAGATATTTATTACCACTATCCCCTCTACAACCAGCCAAATCAGCTGGTTGCTAAGCTTTTCTGTTTGCTTGCTCTTTGCAAAGCAAGTCCTGCATGGCAGGCTATAGTCCTACTCCCCAGGGCGTATCTGATCATCATCAAGCAGCCTCTGAATGGGCATGAACAGCAGTTTCATCCAAACCAGTAAAACCACAATAAACCTGCTGAGTCCAGCTCCATTCCAGTCTTGGTCACTTGGGGCAGACAAGCAGTGTCCCAGGCTGAGAATCTCCAGCATTCAGCTATCCCCCTATTGACTCATTGAAACCAAGGGGAATTTAAGAAAACAGCTAGGAATTTAATGTGTAGCCTGTTTTCTAGTCATTCAGAGTAGCTTCAAATGAAAAATGGTTACTGATTTTTAGGCAGTGCAAACCAAAAACCCCTTGCAAAAATGGTAGCCATTCACATGGGGTTTAGCTTTTCAAATCACACCTCAAAGGCTCTCATCTCAAGCTGCAAGTGATGTCAGTGCCCTTACCGAGCTCTCTGTATTCACATCGTTGTATGCTTCTGTCTTGGGTTCGACTGCCAGCTCAGCTTCTAGGATCCTCTCCACAGGCATGTCCTCGCTGCCACCGCTTGTGGACTCGGCTTCGTTCTCGCTCCGCTCCCTACTCCTCTGCCTCTCCTCCTGCACAGCTGCAGAACAGAAACATGGTTCTACATCCACAGCAACACTTACCTGCTTGTGATGGGTCTCTTTCTTCTGGGAGGAAACTCGCTCAGGAGGTTGAGAGCAGAAAATAAATGGATATTTAAAATGTACATCCAGAAAAATGGCTGCCATCACCACCCCCCGATAACATTGGGGTTGTTGTAGAACAGTGGCCTCCAAATCTGATGAAAAGTTGTGATTTCCAAGATATGAAGCTCCAGAATATAAGAAAGAGGAGCTGATACCTCCAGGTGGCAGCCTGAACTCAGCCGTAACTAGGTGCTGGAGGAGGCAGGAGGGACCCAGGACCCAGACACCAAGGTTTGGTGCTCTCACACCATGCTTTGAACACTCCCACAGTGGCTAGCACATTCAGCAGCAGGATGGTCCATCACCCCAGCTGGATCAACACATGCTGCCTAACTCGTTCCTGAGCAAAAGGTTATGCAGCCTGGCCCAGCCCTTGTGCCACCTTCTCCTCCACTACTTCTCTTCCCAGCCCTCTGCAATAGACAGTAGTTCCTAGCACCTCTGAATGCCCCAATGCCTTCACTCTCTTCTCCCATCTCTGTACATTTTCCAAAATATCTACTATCCAGAGAAATACAATCACTGAAATTCTCTCCAGATCTCACCTATTAAATCCCAGGGCTGCTGGGTGTGTGGAAGCCAGGTTGGTGTAGAACACGTGTATGCGGTATGCCATGCCTTGTGCTCAATAGAAGCCCTGGGTACATATTTTTGTTAAAGAAAATCCCGACGGGAAGAAAATCCTGCTAAAAACCAAGTGACCAGCAGGTGTCATGTCGGTTTAGCTCATTGCTGGGCAGAAATGTCCCCAAACGAAATCCTGCTCGCATCACTCTTTTGTGTGAGCATACAGCACCAGGCAGGTGCCCAGAGTGCCCCATAACCCCTAAGGGACAAGTAGGCAGCTGGCCCGGTCTCAAAGAACGGCCTGTGGTGAGCTGTAGGCAGTTATACACCTGAAATGAAAGGTTCAGGGGGAAGAAACTGGTGGCAAAGCTAGCCCCTGCCATGCAGACGTTGGTGCTTCAATATTCAACAGCTGAATGTCTTCCCCACCTGTTAGCTAAGCACCAGGCAGTCAGTATTCAAAGGAGTGGAAAACCACCAGGGCCAAGGGATTAAAAAGTCCTTTAAGAGGAGAGGGGACCTGCATAAACAGGAGGGGACACCAAGAAAGGAAAAACTCAGCAAGTCCACAGCTCATAGCAAGCCTGCAGGAGAATTTGACCCCCATTGTCTCAATTAAGTAAGTGCTGATGGAAGAAGGGTGTGACAAGCTTTTAGGTCAGGTACTTGGATTAGGAGATTTCTTTCCCATTTGTCTTTATAGCTCTGCTGTTTGCAGTGGTGTCAGGAAGTAAGTCCTTGCATCAGTCTTGCCTTACTCTGGCTTATATTAGGGTGCTTTCAGGAGAAGGGCCAAACCACAGGAGGTTCCTCAGCACTGAGACTTACAACCACTTTGAAATTCTCTGCATTTCTCCCAGTTTGGAGGATGTGCTTACCAGGACTGCCCAGCTCTGGGGAACTGGCTGCACCCAAGGAGGTGGCTCAGTGGGACATAGAGCCTGGCACTGAGGGAGGACAACATGGGATGCTCTCCTATGTGCTAACCAGCTGGGGGCATCATTTGTCCTCCTTAGAGTAATGGACAGGAAGAAGCCAGGGAAGTGTTTCTAAAGTCATCAGAATCTTAGCGGAAAGTCATCCAAGGTTCCATCCATGTCCAAGCTGCAATATGCCCCCAGTTTCAGCAGCTCCCAGAAAGCCCCTGTGATTATTGCAGCCAAACCCCCACAGAGCCCACCAAGATCCTGGTGTTTAAATTTTCAAGCTCTGCAAAGGAAAGTTGAGTTGACACCCTGGTCCTTTGAACCACTTTGCACCCAGCTGGAAGGGAGAGCTGTGCCTGGGATTAGGTTTTTGATTCAGCTTGGCATTTTGCAGTCCCCCACTGCGCTAAGCAATTGAAGCAGCACAGCATTGATGATACTGCAGGGAACAGGACAAGATCAAAAATGCCCTGAAGCTGTCAGTGTGGGTTTTTAGAATGCTCTAGCCTTGGAGTGCTACAAGAGCCAGATTTGCCCTAAAGAATGTAAGGAAAATTTCTTTAAGCCCATGCCTTCCACCAGCCCTCACATACCTTCCCTCTTCATGCCCATCACGAGGCACTTCTGATAGCGGCAGTACTGGCAGCGGTTGCGTTGGCGCTTGTCTATGAGGCAGTCCTTGTTGTCACGGCAGGTGTAGACCAGGTCCTTCCGGATTGTCCTCTTGAAGAAGCCTTTGCAGCCCTCACAGCTGTACACCCCATAGTGCTTCCCTGGAGAGGCAAGGGGAGACCATGAGTGGGCAGGTAAGTATCTGCCCTTCCCTCCAGCGTGAAGGAGCTTGAAACAACCCCAAAGGTGAAAACCCTGACTGCACAGTATCACTTCAGCAGGCCTGAGTTGGCTTCAGGGGTTCTTTCCAGTAATAGTGACCAGTAGCAGTTAAGCTATAGGAATGCTGCTGTGATAAGGAGGGACTGCATCCCAGGGCAAGGATGTGGAGCCACATCTTGGATGCAGTACAAGTGCATTAAAGCCGTAGGTAGCAAATGGGGTGCACTGATACAGAGGTGGTCTGCAAGGCACAGCCAAGCTGCAGGTCTCTGGAGTAGAAGAGAAAACCAGGCATAGGCAAAGCCTTGCTAACACAAAGCACAGGTAAATAAGAACACAATCTTTTATATTTACCTTTTAAAAACGGGGACAAAATGTAAAATATTATAGATTATACACATAAGGGAGAAAAAGACAGCTTTTAGGTTTGCTCTCTTTTGGGCACAGCACAGCTAATCTGCAAAACCCTTGGGTAAGCCATACCTAACTATGAGTCCTACAATGCCAGTATGGCACCAGCAATCCTCCACAGGGTTCATTCCTGCACGAGCATTGCTTCAGAGCATCACGGGAGTCTTCATTGCACAAAACCTTTTCCATGAAAGAAAACCTCCTACCTGAGGACCTGTCCCCACAGATGGCACAGATGTGTTTGGCTAAGGATCCTGGGCTTGTAGATGGATAATTCATGTTCCCAATCCCTGGGAGACCTGGCAAGGGTTTGACATCCTCTGAGCTGCTGACATTGTTCAAGATATTGAGCTGCAATAGCAGAAGCCACAAGACAGGTTAGAGGATCAAGACTCATACTCCAGTGAAACCATCCCCAAATTGAGCTGACCCCTCCTTTATTGTTCCTGCTGGGCTCATCCCATAAGCTTATCACCAGCAACTCCATGGGGCTGCCATGGGCAGAGAGACATCCTCTGGTGAATCCAGCTGGAGCAGTTTAAGCAGATGCCTGGTAGCAGATATTGCCTCTCATCCTGCCCTGATGCTGTAACCAAAGCCAGTACTCAGCATAGCTATAAAAGAGCAGGCAGCAACCCTCAGCTGCTCAGTTACAGCTTCGAAGCAACAGCGCTGGCTTCGTTAGAGGATGCTGATCTCTGCTTGCAGCCTTGAGCACTAATAGCTTAGTAAGGAACAGCTTTGCAGCCAGGAGGCAGTTTGTTGCAGTGAAACCTACACTGCTGCATGGCTAGGGAAGCCCTAATGATGTTGAGTGGGTTAGCTTCCCTGATTCACGATAAACAGATCTGCATGAACACATAAAAACATGGCCATCTTGGTCATTCCCTGGGACTTAGGTCCCTAACACTATCACAGCCTCGGGATTGGAGCAGGTTTGGGGTTACCAGCTGAAGAAAAAGGAAGGGGCTGAGCATCTAAAAGTCAGCTTCAGTAAGATGCAGACAAATGGCCCAGAGCCCCCAGCTGAGATCCCCAGGAGCTGCTCGTGGCTGCTGCAAGTTAAAGGTTACAAACCGACATCGATTAGAGACCAAAGCCTGATGTTGCCCAGGGCTTCGTTTTATTGCTATTTGCTTTCTAGCTGTTGTTGGCAGTGTAGTAAGGATTAAGGGCCATTGAGCACGTCTTTTCCAAAGCTGTCTGGGCAGAGCAATGTCTCCCCAAAACCACTATGAAATCATCTTTCCCACTGCCGTTCTTTGAGAGCTGGGAATGGTTTCTTCATTATTGAGCCTGTTTTTAGCAGTCACCCCAATTTATCAGATAAAGTTCTTCTTCCCAGCAAGAAGGTGAAACTAGGGACACAAAACAAGGCTTTGAATGAAAATCCAGCTACAGATATAAAGTCTCCATAACATCTAAACCACTAGATTTCATGCATGCTGTTGCAAGTTCTCGGTTTGCTCCAAGAAACTGCCCATTTACCATCAAAAAGTATAATTTCCACAGGGAATTTCAGGAAAGAAGAAGAAGAGTTCATCCCATTGGGATTTTTGGACTGGTCATTATGAAAAAATAAAAAGGTGAAGCCTGTATTTATCTTCCTTCACACTTTCCCTGTATTTTCAAAGCTTCAAAGGTCTGATGACATTGAAAATACAAATTATCCAGCAAAAAAATTACCACATTAGGAGCCAGGTTGTTTTGCTCCTCTGGAAAATAGAAGTGCGCTGGGAATAATTGCCCAGAGGAATACAGGTTCGCTCTCCCCAGCAGAAACCCAGCCCAGGCACTGGCAGCTGTAAATATAATGCTTCAACATTGGCCCAAGAAAAAGGGAAATCAAAACCCTTCCTCCCCACAAGTATCCAGCCACCTTTTTTTAATCCTGAAAACTTCTTGGCAAGATGCTGAGCCAGGAGGAATTTCTTATGGTTTATAATGTTACCCAGAGTTCAGCTACTACCTTTTCTTTCTGGCTGCACTTTAAGACAGTAACAGGGAGAGAGGATGTATGGGAGGGGGAGGGAATGGGGCAGTTTTAGCCATCAGTGTCCTCAGAGCTTGACTCTGGCAGGTTAAGTGCAATCACGTATGATATCTGGGACAACTACTTGAACCCAAATCCATTAGCTGCCTCTCTGCTGAATCCCCAAGGCCCAGCTGTCTCCTTGCATTAGAGGCAACACAAGTGAAACCTGCTCCTCAGAGCTGGGAACTTGGCACAGTGCCTAGGTTGGGGAAACCACTTCCCGGTTGCATCCCCATCCCCAAAGGAAAGGCTTCCACACAGCCAGTGCTGCCACAGCTCCACCACCACAAAACACCTGCCCTGGATGCCATGTGTACAAGTCAGGTTTATGGGGAACAGCTGGTGGCGCACAGGAAAGAAGGATGCCGGGTGCACCCACTGCAGTCAGCCCAGATCCATGCAGGAGCTGAGGATGCTGGTAAAAGCTAAACCAAACCTGCCAAATCACCCTATACTCTCTCAGAGAATTCAGGGGCCTCCCCACACCACCCTTTCCCAGGCAGGCACAAGGAAGAGCTTCAGACAGACTGTGTAGTTAGAGTAGTATATGGGGCAGAGAGGGCTTGAGGACCATAGAATCATAGAATTGTTAGGGTTGGAAAGGACCTTAAGATCATCTAGTTCCAACCCCCCTGCCGTGGGCAGGGACACCTTATGCTAAATCATATCACCCAAGGGCTCGTCCAACCTGCTGCTTCTTCAGCAGAAGCCCAGAGGCTTTTGAGTACTTCCTACCTTCAGGTCTCACTAATAAAACACAAAGTCTTGTTAATAAAAGGCAGAATTCCTACTTAGATCTGAACTCCCAGAACATTTCAGCACACTAACAAAATTCCATGCTGCCACCTTCTTCCCAGCCATGCCAGAGGTGGTGCCAGGTTCTTGGGCAGCACATTCCTGTCTCTGGCCCACAAAGCCACACCGGGAGGCTCCCAGCCCTGGGAAAGCACCAACCCTAACACCTGAGTCTCTCTGCTGTCTGAGTGAGCTCAGGCAGTAAGGATAGTAGGGCCTTGTTTTTCTTCAGGCCAAGTTTATGTGCAACACAGAGTATGTGGCTGGCATTTAGCACTAACATTTGCCTCTCTCTAGAAAGTCTGTCTCCTTTCCAAACAATGAAACAAAGCAGATATCCTTTTGCAGGAAGAGGAATGCTTCACATGCTGCAGCCCTTGGTCATCCTGACTACTTCTATGTACAGTAATTACATACACTGCAAAAGATGCAGTGAAGGAGAGCTGGACTGCACCCACAGTGAGAACTGACCTGGGAATTCTCTCCTCCCACTTACTGTGCAGGGTATCTTGAAATATGTACAGGTGTCTTCTCTGTGTCTGTGCCAGTGGGGGTTATGCAGAAAGATTCATGTGCTGGAAATTGTTCTTTACAGCTCATCTCCCAAGTGAGATGAGCTGGTGGCCAAAAACCACCAGACTTCACACCAGCCAATCCACACCCTCAAATTTTGGGACCTGATGCAGTCTAAACACTGTGAATTGTAGCAAAGCAAGTATGCGCATCTGCATACCTGTGGACTTGCATGTGTCACAAAATTCATGCCCGGGGCTGAAGGCAGTGAGACGGGGTGTGAGCTGATGGAGGACGCAATGACTCTGTACGGTGAGCCCAGTGAGTTCACTGGAGACCCGATGGCATTCATGGGGGATGGCAGAGACCGGGAGGCGTTCGCAGGGGCTTCGAGGTAGTTGTGGTGCCCCTCCACCGAATTTCCCGAGGAAAGGCTTGATGACAGGCTCACAGATGTGGAGCTGGCATGGACAGGGGAATCTACAGGGAAAAGCAGAGAGATTAAATACACTATGAACAAGGCTGGCTGTACAGCTATCAGCTGCCCAGCCTTGGTCATGTTCTTCCTAGTAGCTGGTGCAGTGCTGTGTTTGGGCTTCAGTCTGAGAACAATGTTGATAACTCACCAATGTTTTAGTTGCTGCTCAGTAGTGCTTACCCCGATCGAGGACCTTTCTGTCTCTCATTCTCATGCTCTGCTAGGAGGGAGCAGAGCCAGGACACCTGACCCAAACTAGCCAAAGGGATATTCCATACCACAGTACAACATGCATGGTATATAAACTGGGGAGAGTTACCCAGAAGGGACTGACCAGTGCTCAGGATGGGTTTGGTGTTGGTCAGTGGGTGTTGAGAAATTGTATTGTGCATCACTTGTGTTTTCTGAATTTTCATTTATCCCTTTTTGTTGCTCTCTAATATTGTTAACAATATTGTTATTTCTGGTATTATTTCTATTATCATTGTATTTTACTCAATTGCAATTATTAAATTGTTCTTATCTCAACCTGCAGGTTTTGCATTTTCACTTCTCCGCCCCATCCCACCTGAGGGGAAAAAGGTGGGCAAGCGGCTGTGTGGTACTTAATTACCAGCCAGGTCTAAACCATGACATCAAGGCTGTAAGCCAACCAGCAAACATGTCTTATGCTATAAAGGGAAAGAGCAAAATGTTGGTTATGGTACACAACATAGAGTTACATACAACAACAAAACGTATTATAAAGACAACACTTTATACTCAAATCTGCTTTCACTGCTTTGATGCCTCAGCTGACTTGGAAGAAGGCACCACTGCCTGCCTGCTGCTGGTCTTCTCTGAATTACTCTCTGAGGTCCCATTTCTTTTGTCTAAGCTGGTGCTAGAGACAGTGCACAACTGAAACCATGAAATCTCCACTGATCAGGCTGCAAACCCCTGAATACTTCCCATGTCTTATGAAGCACCTTTGCTCTCTGCGATGGCTCAGGCATCATGCTCAGCAGGCTCCTCTTGCCATGGCTTAGCTCCTTCCCTTCCCACTCACCAACCCACGATGCTATTTCACATCATCCTCCAGCTGTCAAAACTTAATGCCAGCATTTTCTGCAGAAGCTGGAGCAATGGAGGACAGAAACTGCCCATGACATGCTAGCAATGCAGATTATAGGACAAGGCATCCCAAAAATATTTTGTCCATTACTTTTCCTCACATAGTATGAGACAGAGCAGAGAATATTCCCACAGATGTTCCTGGGCAGACAATTTCAGAGACACAAGGAAAGAGGGTTTCCTCTTCCCACACTAAAGAACCCCAGTGCACATTGCCAAACTAAGTCTCAGAGTAGCCCCATGAGACCAATCTGCCCCTGAACCCCACTGGGAAGGAGGAGGTATAGAAAAGCAATATAAACTTGAGCATTGCCACTTCAGGGCAGTCTCTGAGGCTGAATGCCTCACCCAAGGTCTAAATGCTTTCTTCTATAGGACCAGTCTCCTATTCAGAGGGTATCTGGGCATCAAATGCCCACTAGTTCTGATAGGTTATGTATCTAGCTGTATTTTAAGGATTTATATGACCTTTTCTCCCTCCCCTAGAATTCACCAACCCCAGTTAGCAATAGCTGTATTAACATTTCAATGAACCATTGTTTCTCTGTTGTTTTGTCAACACAGGAGATCATTCCCTGGAGTAGCAAGGAAAAGATGTTGTGTGGGAAGGTCACACAGTTGGTTTTCCATGGCTGGCATAAAGGATTCTTGCTCCCATTGCATTTGCAAGTAAGGGAGCACTTTGGTGTTTTGTTTGTTTGGGTTTTTTTTCCTCCTTTTACCATTATTGCAAAGTTATTTACGTGACAGTGTTTGTATTTTACCTGAAGTAACAATCAAATCTGATTCAAAGGGAAGATGCACAATAAAGACGGGAAAAGGTCAGCTTGCTGAATAACATTAAAGACATTTGTCAGAGTCAAGGAGGACTAGATCTGCCGTTATCAACCCACTTCAGACTTAATTCTGCAGGAGGGGTGGGGGGAGAAAAGGTCTTTGTCAATTCTTGCTTTGGCTTTTTGGATCAATTCTCCCAGTGGGAAAGCAATGTGCAGAAAGAGGAAGCCGGCTTAATGACAACAGCAGAAGCCTTAGAGGCAGCAAGGCGGTCTGAAGGCAGAGCCAGGGCTCCTGCCTGCTGCTGGAAAGAGCCATCTCGCATCCCCCTGCCACCATCATGGAGACAAGCAGCCTATTTTCTGTTAATAGACAGCAAAATCTTTCCTTGTAATGGCTTCCAAGCGCGAAAGACTTTCACCCCAGACACAAGTGCCAGGAGAGCATTTAGCAGTGGGCAGAAGATGTGGTTTTCCTGCCCCTCCCCATTACCTATGAGCTCAGCTCACAGAGGCACCTCAGTTGTTTCCTGGGACTTTAAAGGACTTGTGCCAGAGAAAAGCAAATGCATTTTTCATCACCTGTGAGTAGTCTGGTACCATAGCATGCAGTCCTGCTCAGCATCTGTAGCACAGACTTACAAAGAAATTGCTTTTATGCCTCTTTAAACAGCTAGATAAACAACATTGCCTTTGAGGATTCTTCAGCTTGGAAAATAAACTCCTGAAGGGGAGACTGCGCAGAAATCTATCACACTAGGACAGCTGAGGAGAAGCATGATTCTTCATCCTTTTCCATTAACACAGAAAAGGGCATATTTTGAAAGTATCATGCAGAAGATTTAAACCAATAAGAAAAGACTCCCAGGAGAGTTATTTAACTGTTTGCATTTACATCAGACCTTACAGAAACGTTGTCACCATTAAGTTTCTCCATTAGAAAGGTTCCCAAGGACGGAGAGCAAAGCCAAGCAGACTGCTGTCCAGGACAAGCCCCATGGTGTGCTTGTGTCAGTGCCAAGAAGGCTATGGCCAGGTGAATCCCCTAACCTCCAAGATGGGATCAAAAGTTGAAACCAGGAATTGTGAACAGCTTGCACCTACCTTTTTTACCCTAGCAATGAGACGTCAAAGAAATACGAATGCATGAAGGAGATGGACAGAGAAATGGAAATATCTACTGGCAAGCACAGTAGATATTTTTTACACCTTTACATAGGTGTAAAGGCAGGCTTTGCCAGGGCTTGATGATACACACCAGAGCTAACAAGCATGTTTCCACAGTGCCTGGCCATGCTGTCCCGCTAAGGCTGTGACAAACCCATTGGTGAAAACCTCCCGTGTTAAGTTACCATTTTACTCATGAATAATTTTATCCACCTGTTACAGACTGTAATACAAACTGCATGAAGAAGCGTTGAAACAAAAGGAAAACCAAAAAAGAGAAAAAAAAAGGGGGGAAAGGGGCGAAGTAAAGCACTCCTGCAAGGTGGTCCAAACTTTGACTCTCAGTCTCTCCCTGGGATAAGTTTGTCAAGTCAGTCCCTGTGGGAGCAGAAATGAACCCTCCTGCATTGAGAAAATTTCCCACTCTGGGGAAATAATTCCTCTCAGGTTGTAGTGCTCCAAGAGGGATATAACCTGGTAGCAATCACATCTTATCAGCCTGTGCAAGCAGCAATTTGCACAACTGGCAAAAGGTGTCCAGAAAGAGCCATACCAAAGCACCTTTAACACCGGGGTTACTTAGTTCCTGAGCTGAGTAACCTCAAAGTTGCCTCAGACCAAAGGAGCCAGGGTGGCTTGGACAATGCAAACAGCAGATATTACAAGTATGATTAAATTTGGTAAAAAAAAAATTAAATGAATCTGCAGGAAAATGCTGATGCTCTGTGTCCCACATTTCTCAACAGAAAGCAGCCAGAAAGACCTTGGGCTTGCAGTGGCGGCATGGCCTTCCTCAAGGTATTTTCTTCCATGATTTGGGAGACAGCCAGAAACGACAGCATAGCAGCAGAGCAAGGCCAGCAAGTAGCTGGTCTGCAGCAGAGAAGCAGCTCTGGGACAGAGCAGAGGGCACTGAAGAGACGGGACTCAGTCCTGCATGACTGCTACAGCCGGCTGCCTCTGCCTTTGCAGTAGCACTTGGCACAGGTGACATTTACACAGGCCAAAGCGGGCCCCGAGTCTGTCCGTCAGGTAATGTGAGGTGACAAGCAATGCCGGGGTTCAGCCGGCTGTGCCGGAGCCCCGCAGAGCAGAGGGCAGCCCTGCATCGGGAGAGAGGGCTCTGTGGCTGGCACAGCCCCTGCCTGTGGGCTCCCACACTGACCAGGTCCCCCATGTCTGCTGGGGAAGATGGGCTGAGACCCTGCATCCAGCATCAGGGCTTGCTACTGCTTTTAACCACCTACTCCAGATTCAAGATCAACTTACTTCTGATCCGCAAATGGAGCTGTTTGTGTCTTTCTCCTCTATCTCCCTCCTCCACATCAATGCTTGGACATTTCAGGGAAGCCTGACACTATTTATTTCTCTCCTGGAGGAGCAGAGGTACAGAGGACAAGGGGGAGCTGCCCTGTGTAGCTTCTCTGATGTCTCTCCTGCAAACAGCCTACAGAGAAGTCGGTGCCTCAATCAACCCTCCGCAAGCTCTCTTCTACAGGAGCAGACACAGTCCAGCCTCCTCTTTGCAGGAACCAAAGCCTGAGAAGAAGAAACCTGCTTCTGGGTGCTTTGCTCTTTCAAACTGTCTCTGCAAATGTATCACATCACTTGCTGCAGACAGCAGCTGTGTGTTGAAAGCGTGCTCACACACACAATGTCCATCCTGTTGCTTTAGCGCTCAGAATAAAGATCATATCTAATAATCATTCTGCTGACATTAGAAAAAAATAATGAGAGAAGATCCTAAGAACTACTTCACTCTCATACGCTCAAGGACATAAGCATTACCTTCATGCACCAGTCACTGAAGCAGAGGACACACAGCTATGATACTTTGCTTCCACCGGTGTTTCATCTCCACCTTAGCAAAATCGTAGTCCAGTGATGGGAAACTTACATGAATAGCCTTATAAAATCAGGAATAGAACACCACTGGCTACATCACAGCAGATTCATAGGTGTTTGACAGATGCACGTGGAGAGCACAAACTCCAGGTCCACTACACCAGTGCTGAACAGCCAGGTCTGGGCTAACATGGCTACGCTGATCCAGGACCTACATTAGCTCAATAAGGCCAGGTTGGATACCTTTGTGCTATGACCACTTCACAGGTAAAGCTGGGGCAGACATAAAAGCAAAGACTATCTACAAGAGTGTGCAAGTGACCCCAAATGCCTTGGAAAAGGCAGCAGGAAGATAAGCATCCAAGCTGCAGCCAATAAAGCTGTCTTGATTTACACCCAAATAATGACAGGAAATACCAGTCTCAGTAATTACATTTGAGCAGAAAGTGGAATGAGGATGCAGAGACCAGAAACATCCAAGCTCTAAGTACACTGTCTTTTGAACCAGTATGGGTTGCAAGTTTGTTATGGTTAATGCCTTCCGCTGTAACACCTAGCAAAGCCTCAAGGGAAAAGATGTCCATGCTAAACACTGGGGTCTTTCTTCAAATAAGGCCTAAAGCAGTCAGGCTTCCTGAGACCTGAGAATCTCTGGTAAGCCTAGAGATGATGACACTTTCAGCCTTTAATTTTCTTTTTAATGTTAGAATCAAAAGCTGTAACTTTTCAAATAGTGAAAACCACGCTTGTGCTTCTGAGGCCCCAGATATACATGAAAGAGGTTCATATCATTCACACGAGCAATTAAAGTTGTCCTGCCTGACACACGACTAGCAAAACTTCGCAGATACTTCATCCTCCGCAGATCAGAGAGCACCAGGAAGTGGGAAGAGACATGAACAGAAGGGCTGATTTCAGGAGAGGAGCACGGGCGTGTGTGGGAGGTACAGCTTGGCAGGCAGCTCGTCCTTGGGGACGACCTTCAAGGGGAAGTACCTGTGAGAAACAGTCCTGAAACTGGATGCAGTTATGCAGCAGAGAACCCAGGTTAACTGGGACCAAAGTTTTCCTGCTATGTCTGCAGGAGTAGTTTTTATTTAATACATGGAAGCTAAACTGAGTAACTGTACCCTTTCTGGTGGTATTTTTAACTGTCCAAGCAGATTTCCACAGGCAGTACAGATTGCCATGCTAATATCCTACAGAAAGGTTATTGTTTTCACCTTGCTTTTAAGGTCCAGTAACCTTTGTGCTTCCATCTTCCTGCTCAACTTGGAGTCAATAAATAAGGCAGCCTTCCCCTGCAGCTAACACACATGGAGGAGCAAAATTTTTTGGAGGTGTGCTGGCACATACATGAGCAGGGGCTTCTACAACAGGGATCTGCACAGGGCGGGAGAGAGTTTCCCTAAGCTCTCTGGGTGCTGGGAAGAGTTGCCCCTTTTACTCTCAGGTAATGCTCCTATGCCACTCTTGCAAACAGGGCCCACCCAAAACCTGGGCTGTAAAAACCCATGGGCTGGAAGTACACAAGATTTTTCACCTGCCCTGGTGCAGGCTCAGCATCAGATGCTATTTTGAGGTCTTGCTCTGACTTAACTGAAATACTGACTCAATAGCTTGAGATGTCCAAGGACATTTGGACAAGAAACACCTGCAGTGTAACCACATACTCTTCTCTAGTTAGTACCCTAACAAGGTATCACATCCCCCTGGTGACCACAGTAACACAAGAGTTGGATAACATTTCTCATCTCCAAAGAATAAAAGTTGTTGCATTTGAGGCCTGAAGGGTTTTTCATGATTGTCTGATCAGCTTTCCCACCTGGCCAGCAAGATTTCCAGCACAGCATCCACCAGGAAAAAATGCAGATTTCTACCACGGTCTTTAAACTCCTTGGAGAGGCTACAGGTCCCTATCAGAAATTATCTCACTGGCTGCAGCGCCTGTGGCTGCCCCAGGCAATTGAAAGCAAGTGTCTCCTTCTTTAAAAAAAAAAAATAAAATAAAATCTGTATTTCAGTAGCTACAGGAGTTGCCCAGTCACTGAAATTTCTCACATCTTTTCTGGGTCAAAAAGCCCTCTTCCATCTTCACATACTTCAGTTACAGGTTCTGACATAGCAAGCTGTGACAAACAGAAAAAGCATCACACAGGTCACAAAACCTGAAACCATCACAGGCAAAAATAGGTGACAGCCAGCAAGGCAGCCCCACTCCAGACACAATGTGGGTTTTTCTCTCCTTATCCCCCAAATGACCTGGCCTAACCCCACTTTGCTTGGGAGAGCTGACAAGATTGAAGCCAGAGGTGGTGTGGCCACAGGCCAAGTTACATGAGTACTAATAAAAGAGACTTTGTGGAGGAGCCAAGTTAGCTCTTGTCCCCAACCAACACTGCCAGAAAGTGCCCAGAGAGAGAGGACAGCCAGCACAGCATCTTTCCTTGCCCTGGGAGCTGAGCTTCAGATGAAATGCATCCTTCTGGAGAATAAAAACACATTTTGAAGCCCTTTCTTTGTTCCTGTAGCCCAGGCTGTGAAAGCAAATCCATCTGCCTTAGTGCACATCTCCTGCTTTAGATGTCTAAGGGTGACTCATCTGAACTCTTGCCCTGCTACTCTCCAAACTCATCTGTAACACTTTAGAGTCTGACTGTCCTCGTCTCACCACAAATTATGTACTTATTACCAATGGGTGTATGTACATTCTCAAATTTCATGGTGTTATTCAGACATTTAAGATCAAAGTGAGTTATACACGCTATCGAAAACGTGTTCCTTATTTCTAACCTGAATGTCAACCTTAAGCTCAAAATGAAGCCCAGAATTTCAGAGCTGAAGGAAATCTGAATATAATAAGATCTAGACATGCCAAACAGCAGCGGCCACATCATCTTAACTACCCTGCAGCAACAAGGTGCAAGAACAATGAAGGCAGCAAGCTGACAGCCTAGTGTGGACACTGCCCTTTTCCGTTGTCTTGATGTCCCCCTTCATAATGCCAGCACAGGCAGGACCAGAAACATTTTCATAGCTATTTTAAATAAAGGGGAAGCAGCAAAGACAACATATCATGGGCCTGATGGAGATGCAGGTTGCCTTCACAGGCTTTGTGGTGAGGACCCCAAAGCAGTGGGAAGCTTGCTACACACACACCCACACCCCGCCCCCCCCAACATCGCTGGTCACCATGATCTGTCCTGCTTCATCTCTCTCAAAGCCTTTTTGTCCTCTTGTACAGCCCATGGGCCCCTAAAGTTGTCTGGCCAGAGCAGCAATTGCCTTCTCAAGCAGTCAGAAATCTCTCTCTGCACACCCAACAACCCAAGGAGAGGCAGTCCCACACCACCTGCAGGTCCCCAGCCCCACCAAGCTGCCTCAGGGGCACGGAAGCCCTCCAGCCTTGAGGAGAATGTAGATGCAAGTGGTAACCTGCGTGTCTATAGCATCTGGGGAGTGTAGGGCAGGCCAGAGTGACCGTTTTAAATCAGCCCAAACAAAACTTGGCCAATGCTTTTGCATCTCTGTCAATAATTCACCTGCAGAAAACACTTCTTGCTAAACCAGATTAGAAGCAGGCTAAAACTTCAGTTAAATAAAAGTTAAAGTTCCAATATACTGAACTTCGGGCTAGAGAGCAGTCCCTTCAGATTTGTTGGTGAAGTAGAAATACCTCTGCTCCTACTAACAATTTCCTCCTCTAGAAATCTCCCAAACATTCTACTGAAAGCTGTGACCCCTGTCTCTACAAGGATCTGTGCCCTATTCCCATGAAAATCAGTCTGAACATCACTTTTCTTTTGCTTCTTAGTAAATTTGTAATATTCAACAAACTAAACACAAATAACACTTTCATTGTTTCACTCTTATTGCAGCAATAGGAGAGAGTTTGGCTTGTCTTTGCTTAATCCTTAAAAACACCAGTGAGCAACAGATTCTTCCAACGAGTCATCTCTTTTGTACAGAAACTGCCTAAAAAGGTATTTTGGAAAGTTAAGTGCTTGTGAAACTTGGGGAAGATTTGATGCAATACCAATGACTTTTCTGGAGTTGGAAAATTACCAGAGGTGAGCATCTGGTGCAAGAGGGAGGAAAAAAAATGCACACATAGCGGGAGCATCCCATGTGCAATTCAACTTCTGCGCAAACCTTTTTTCTAGCAGAGAAATAACAGGTTTCTTGTGACGTATACAGCCTGGGGGCTTCCAGAGGAACTCCTGGAGGCATTCACCTACCCTAAAGGGCTGGGAACAACTTGAGGAGTTTTCCAGGGAAACTAAGACTTTGCACATCCATAAACCATAATGAACTTTAACCTCCTTGGAGCAGCACCAATGATGCTGTCAGCAGCCAAAACACGGGTGCTTCCAGTCCCTTGCAGCCAAGCACTCCAACCTGCCCACAC